TGATGGCGTGTGTTTGGCCGTGAAGCTTGTCGCTGTCTCTTATACACATCTTGTATGTATGTATATATGTATATATATGTAGTATGCATGTATGTGTATATGTGTGTATATATGCATGATATATGTATGTATATGTATATATATGTGTATATGTGTGTGTGTATATGTGTATGTATGTATATATATGTATATATGTATGTATATATATATATATAATAAACAATAATAATATATGCCTTTGAAATAACCATGACAAATATAACAACAATAATAATGATAAATATAATCATAATAATAATGATAATTGCAATAATAAAATAAAATTAAATCAATTTAATGAAAATAGCGATTGTTGTTGTTATTGTTGTTATAACTCTTTGTCTCTTGAGTAGTTTCTCCTTGTTAAATGTTGTTTAATTTTATTTTTTATGGGTTTTGATGTACTTTGTTAAATTTTTATGTGATTTTAATGTGATTTTAATGTAATTTTAATGGGTGCGAGCTTTTGTAATTTCTTCGTTTTCTTTTTAATGGAGACAATAAATTTTATCTTGTATCTTGTATCTTGTATCTTGTATTTAGTGAAGCCAGTCGACCAAATGCCAAAACAAAAACAGAATATTCTAAAGCATAGTGAATAATAGTGAATACTGCTTCATCTTTAACTGTAATTTTAAAAAGACCTTCGCAAGAAGTGAAAATCAAATTCCTTTTTAAATTAAGAACATGATCCAATAATAATTTTTGTTATAATGTTAATCAGGTAAGATACTATGCCTACTGGTAAAGAATATGGTAAAAAAACAGATTATACAATTAAAAAAGAAAAAAAATATATTAAAATGTTGTGATGGATGTAGTCTGTAGACATTCCTTATTCGTCACATATTGACTTATTTTAGTGATTAACACGGTCACTTTATAATATATTTTATTCATTATATTTAGTGAACATACACGCATTTATATGAGCCGCACTCAATGAAGTGGTACATTGTACTACATACTGAATACTCTGCAGCTCCTTTCACTGTACTGTACTAATGTAATTTGAATAATGAATTCTCACATACATGTTGCTTTAGCACAACATTACTGTAGACTCCTGTTATTGCAAACATTGTTTTTTTATGATATTTTAATAGACATAAAGAGGAACTCAAAATATGCCAATAATGGTAAGACATTATGTGCTACGATATGTAGCAAAGACAAGCCAAACCAGTCACAAATATAAATTTTTAGTTATTAATAATAATAATAATAATAATGCATTTATAATGCGCCATATATCTAGGTAAACCTATTCCGAGGCGCACACAAATATACTAAACATGAAAAATAAAAAAACAACATTATAAATATTATAATACAGGGTTATAATACAGGGTTAAATAGTAAAATGAGAGCTACAAAATGGTAAAAGAATCATCATGAATCTGACATTTCCTTATGAAGATACAAGCATTGTTTAAAAACACAGAACAGTACAGTTAATCTTGCCTAAGTCGACTGTGCCTAAGTCGAATAATTTCTAAGTCGATCTTATCTTGCATGCCAAATTGTTGTGTTTTCCATTAACAATCTATAAGTCAAATTTTATCTAAGTCGAAAAATATTTCAATGGCATTTTGGATTCGACTGGAAGTTAAACTGTATTTGAGAAATCAGCCTTCAAAGTTTAAGATTTGCGAGTTCTATGGTTGGAGTAAATAACACAATAATAATATATGATATACATAACATATATAAGCACTGTCATTATTATTATTATAGCAGTGATGTCGATAATGTTATAATAATAGTAGGAACAACAACATTAACAATAACAATAACAATAATACTACAGCTGAACTTGCCTACAGTAAGTCGAATCCAAAATGCCATTGAAATATTGTTCGACTTAAAGATAAATTTCAACTTACAGATTTTTAATTAATGGACAACACAACAATTTGGCATGTAAAATATGACTGACTTAGAAATTATTCGACTTAGGCAAGTTTAACTGTAATAATAATAATAATAATAACAATATTACCACCACCACTGTCCTTGAGAGTTCTATGGTTTGATTAAATAATAACAAAATTAATAATATATGATATACATACAGTATATAAGTACCAATGAACAAAAATATACAGCAAAAGTAATCAAATCGAATAGTAACAGCAAAATATAATTCATAACAAAAGCAGGGATAAAATATTGAGTAATACAAATATTTTGTTATACAATAAAAAAGCAACAGCAATAATAATAATATTAATAATATAGATAATAATAATAGTAATAATAATAATAATAATAATAATAATAATAATAATAATAATAATAATAATAATAATAATAATTAACTAACACAATAATATATGATATACATAACAAGTACCAATGAACAAAAATATACAGCAACAGTAATAACAGGAATCAAATACCAACAGCCAAATATAATTTCATAACAAAAGCTGGGATAAAATATTCAGTAATTGTAAGAAGTTGTTAGTACTCAGAATATTATTATAACAATAAAAAAACAAAAAAGCAACAGCAATTATAAAAATTATAACAATAGTATGATAATAATATAGTAATAATAATAATACCAATAATGATGGCAGTGATGTTGATAATGTTATAATAATACTAGCAGCAACAACAATAACAATAATAACAATAATAATAATAATAATAATAATAATAATAATAATAATAATAATAAATGAAGAAGTATATATTAGCACGTAAACAAGTAAGTAGCCATAAAAACCACACTGTATCATACTGTATAGCGCCAAAGAAGGTTTAAAAACTTTGTACTGTATGACAAACTTTTCAAGCAGATAGGCCTACAGTATGGTACACATTTGTCAACAGTGTGAAAAGACTACAATGATACCAACATACCGTAGTTCCTCAAGTATAAGCCCACTTCAGGCAAAACTCCTTACATTACACCAAATTTTACATACAAGCCTTTTTCAGGCAAAAGCCCGGGGTATGATTGAATTCAGTAACTCAGCTGACTATTGCCATTGGCTGTGTGCCTTTAAAAATGATTGGAAATGCTGTCAGTTTGAAAAATTATCGTCAATTTACTTGTGAAAAGGGGATTCACAAAGTATAAGCCCCCTAAAAATCAGTGTTCAAGGGGGTAAGCTTTTACTAAAGGAACTATGGTATTTCTAAAGAAACAGTGAAATGGCTACAATACTTTAAACATATTTTATATCACTTTGATAAAGCTACCAAATTTCTTTTCGTATTTTTCAAGTACAGTAATTAATAACAACCAATATTAAATATTAAGCAGTACAGTACAAACATAACATTTTATAATACACCTAAATAAATCCATTCAGAAATGAACTGTGTTCAAATTTTTTTTCATAAAATATCAAATGACAAGGATATATGTTAGGTATGTTATAAAACAAATTATAAATGATTTTTATTCCCACAATGGAAAGAATATTTTCATTCGTCAAAAGACTGACTGCTATTCAACTCAGCTCTGTCTCATTGAATGGAACAGTCTTTCAACGAATGAAAATATTCTTCCGATTGCACTCATAAACTTTCATTATTTGTATACTGTACCATTCCATACACTTTGATCTTGAAGGAACAAAACATATTTCTTTGGTCTTTCACTTTCACTTTTTTGTAATTCAATTTGTTTCTTGTTGGAAGTTAATAAATATTTTTATGGCTGTATTTTATTTGTTGTTGTTTGTCCAAATAAAGCCCTGTGCAGACTACCACATTAAAAAAAAAACCAAAAAAAAAACTAATTTTTTATGCCCATACAGTTGTGATGTGCCTATATAGAGTAATGATATATCTGGTACTGCTTGTAAATTTCTTTCCACAATGTTCACATTCAAAGCGAGTCCTGTATGTACTGTATACTAATATGCTTTCTGAAATTTCCTGCTGGAGTTCAATTTATTTTCACAATGTTCACACTTGTCTCTCCTGTATTTATTTAATGGCTTTTAAAATGATTCTTGTCTGTAAATTTCGTTCCACAAAGTTTACATTCATATGATCTCTCTCCTGCGTGTCCTTAAATGTCGTTGGAAACTGCCTTTGTCACTAAATTTCCTTCCACAATGTTCACATTGATATCGTCACTCTCCTGTATGTATCCTCATATGCCTTCTGATATTTCCACTAAATTCCTTTAAACAATGTTCACATTCATAAGCTGTATGTATCCTTAAATTATTTTTTTTTCAAACTGATATTAAAAGAAAACTTCTTTCCACAGTGTTCACATTCATTATGGTCTCTCCCCTGTATGTATCCTCATATGCATACGTAAACTGCCTTTGTCACTGAATTTCCTTCCACAGTGTTTACATTCAAATGATTTCTCTCTTCTACATGTATGCAACCTGAAATGCCTTGTCAAACTACTTTTGGTATTTAAATTTCATTCTACATTCTAAATCTTTTCATTTAAATGGTGTGTCTTTGCTATGCATCCTCATCAAATGTTGTTTTGAATTACTTTTGTCATTAACTATTTTTCCATAATGTTCACATTCGAATGGCTTAGCTCCTGTGTGCATCCTCAAATGTCTTTTCAAGTGGCTACTTCTATTGAATTTCTTTCCACAATGTTCACATTCAAATGGTCTCTCTCCTGTATGTGTCCTCAAATGTTGTTTTAAATTGCTATTTATTTTGAATTTTTTTCCACAGTGTTCACATTTGTATGGTCTCTCTCCTGTATGTATCCTTAAATGTCTTTTCAAATGAACAACTGATTTGAATTCCTTTCCACAATGTTCACATTCATATGGAGTCTTTCGTGTATGTATCCTTGCATCTGTTTTCAAAAAGGTGCAATGTTTAAACTTTCCCATACAATGTTCACATTCAAATGATTTCTCTCTTGTATGCACCCTCAAATGCCTTGTCAAACTGCTTTTGGTTTTAGATTTCATTATGTTACATTCAAATGGTGTGTCTTCACTGTGCATCCTCATCAAATGCTGTTTTAAATTACCTTCATCATTAACTCTTTTCCCACAATGTTGACATTCAAATGGCTTAGCTCCTGTGTGTATCTTCAAATGCCTTGTCACATGGTTACTTCTAGTGAATTTCTTTCCACAATGTTGACATTCATATGGTCTCTGTCCTGTGTGTGTCCTCAGATGTTGTTTTAAATGGCTTCGAAATTTGTATTTTTTTCCACAATGTTCACATTCATAAGGAGTCCTTTCTCCTGCGTGTGTCTTCATATGTTGTTTTAAATGGTTACTTCTATTGAATTTCCTTCCACAATGTACACATTCATGTGTAGTCATTCCTGTATGTGCCCTCAAATGTTGTTTTAAATTACTAATAGTTTTGAATTTCTTTTCACAATGTTCACATTCATAAGAAATCTCTCCTTTATGTGTCTTCAGATGTCTTTTCAAATGGCTACTTCTATTGAATTTTTTTCCACAATGTTCACATTTATATGGTCTTTCTCCTGTGTGTATCATTAAATGTTTTTTCAAGTTGCCACCTGATTTGAATTTCTTTCCACAATGTTCACATTCATATGGAGTCTCTCGTGTATGTATCCTTGCATGGGTTTTCAAAGTGCTGCAATGTTTAAACTTCCTCCTACAATGTTCACATTCAAATGATTTCTCTCTTGTATGCATCCTCAAATGCTTTGTCAAACTGCTTTTACTTTTAAATTTCATTCTACATCTTTTACATTCAAATGGTGTGTCTTCGCTATGCATCCTCATCAAATGCTGTTTTAAATTACTTTTGACATTAACTCTTATCCCACAATGTTCACATTCAAATGGCTTAGCTCCTGTGTGTATCCTCAAATGCCTTGTCACATGGCTCCTTCTATTGAATTTCTTTCTACAATGTTCACATTCATATGGTCTCTGTGCTGTATGTATTCTTAAATGTCTTTTCAAATGACTAGCTGATTTGAATTTCTTTCCACAATGTTTACATTTATAAGGAGTCTCTGGTGTATGTGTATCTTTGCTATGTACCCTAATCAAATGCTGTTTTAAATTACTTTCATCATTAGCTCTTATCCCACAATGTTGACATTTGAATAGCTTAGCTCCTGTGTGTATCTTCAAATGCCTTTTCACATGGTTACTTCTAGTAAATTTCTTTCCACAATGTTCACATTCATATGGTCTCTGTCCTGTATGTGTCCTCAAATGTTGTTTTAAATGGCTTTTAAATTTGTATTTCTTTCCACAATATTCACAATCATATGCAGTCACTCCTGTATGTATCCTTGCATGCGTTTTAAAATCGGTACATTTCAATCCACGCTGTTCACATTCATATGACATTTCTTCATTACGTATTTTAATGTTTTCCTCCAATTTGACTTTTGTATTAAGTCTCATATGTGCCCTCAATGAAATTAAATCAAAATTCTTTCCACAACATGTGCATGTATATTCTATGTCTATCTTATTATTTTCCAAATGTTCCTTTAAGCTGTCAAACTCATATTCTTGCTTTCCAATACTTCTATTCTCATATTCGTTGTCATTCACTTCTTTCAGTGGAACACATGATCCTCCAGAATTTGGTTTTGTTGATGGAGAAATTAATAAATTATTTGAACATTTTTGATAGCTGTGAAAAACACTGCTATGGCCTGAAATAAAAAGGTAAGTATTTTAGCAGGAATTAGTGAATTTCCAAAAACCACCACCTACTAAAAAAAAAATACACTCGGCCAACCAGAAATGCCTTTTATTGTATTAGTTGTATACCTGCCAATTCATTACTACTTCTGGTTAAACACACTGGGGAACAATTTACTTTATAGTTGACAAAAAAAAATACATGTCAAGCTTTGTTGTTGAAATGGAAATATTATGCAAATAGTCAATGGTTCTTTAGCATCACATGTTTAAATATAAAGATACATTAAAAATATTCACAATCATTTTGCCAAAAACTGATATATTTAAAATGCTGTACACACTGTAATTGCACTAATTTGAATATTTATCATACAGCTATTGTTATCTGCCTACAAATTATGGGAAACATATTTTTCAGGGGCAGATCCAGAAATGTCCAAAAGGGGGCCGGAAGTGGGGCCAAAAGTTGGGCCGATTGAGACAACACTGTCGTAGGGGGTCCGGGGCATGCCCCTCTCGAAATTTTTGTGTTCTAGACGCCCGAACATAACATTTGAGGCATTCTGGGCTATCATTTTTTTCTTTTTCTCTCTTTTTTTTCTTTTTTTTTATCTCCCAAAATCCGCCCCTGTTTTTTTAATGATCCTCATATCTGCACCCTACTTTGGATCGTTAATAAAATTTAAACACTTCTTCATTAAAACATTCATTCATTCAACTATTCTGCAAAGCGTCATTTTCATCCATTGATCCACTTTTTAGATATTTAGTTCTGGAACCTAATGGCCCTGAAATGCACACCCAAATGTGGATAGAAAGTTTAATTCAGATCAGTTAATTAGTTTTTGAAATATCTGATCTGGGACGTTTTCCTTTGAATGGTCCTCATATCCACACCCTACTCCGGATGGTCACCAAAATTTACACATTTCTTCATCAAAACATGATAAAATATTCTGGGTAGTGTCATTTAGATCTATAGATTATTTTTAGAGATATTTAGGTCTTGGGCCTTAGCATTTTAAATGACCCTTTAAATTCACACCTGAATTTGGATCATCTCCAACACTTGATTACAGTGTTTCCTTGTAACTAGGTTAAAATTTCACAAAACTTTCATTCAGATAAAGTTGACACATTTTGAAATATCTGGTGTAGAGTTTTTGCTCTTAAATCCGTTCAATTGGTCCTGACATCCACACTCTACTCCGGACTTCCACCAAAATTTAATCATTTCTTCATTGGGTCATACCTAATACTACCTGTTATTTGATGTATATCTGTGCAGACGTTTTTGAGATAATTTGAAAAAAAAAACACACACAAAACACGAAAATGTGACACACACACACACACACACACAAACTTACAGTTCACAACTGAAAACACATATCTGCAGGCGGAGATAAATGATGATAATAATAATAATAAATAAAAACAATTTAACAATATTATTTTATATTATTATTATTGTTATTATTATAGTTATTTTATTATTATTATCATTATTATTATTATTATTAACAATAATAATAATAATAACAATAATAATTAGGGATTTAAACCACGCCTCTTGTCACTACACATCAGCATTTTCGTTATGTACAAAGCCATTAGTATAGAAACAATGGTAGAACTAACCAGGTTCTTCTTTAACTTTCTGTCCCAACATAGCTGCAACTTCTTCAGACTAAGTTCTGAAAACAAAGAATTACTGTATACAGAAAAAGAAATGAAAAAGACAAATACTATTGTTAGTTCTCATTGGTGAATCAAGGGGGTGGCGAAAGGGGCACTTTCTATTTGATATTATTTTTTGGAGGTAGAATAAAATAAGGTCTGTTAAGATTTTATCCTTCTTAATACTAAACTTTAAATGTATATTTTCCGGGATACTGTAGGTTAGTTAAGAGAACAGCTTTCCTCTGTCAGCTGAACTGACCTACACGGTTTAGCACACACGCAGTGGCTACCACTAGTTTAGCCAACTGTGCTAAGCTGCTCTTAAATTATCTGCCTATCCAAATTAATCTAGGAGGCGAGTTATGTCATGGGTGCACTTTTGCATACACTCAATCTCTTTTCAAATATAGGTGTATATGGTGTGATGCTTAATGTTGAATTGTAAAAGTAATATAATGGCTAATAAATGAGACTCGCATACATCAACGCTGTTAATGACTCTCCGTCCTTTTATTTCTTCTCCTCCCATGTGCTCTCCCTACATCCCATAATAATGAAACCGTTACCAGGAACTTTCTGCCCCAATTAACAAATTACACAGCACTACATCTGGGTGCACGGTTGAAAAAAGTTTTTCTCACGCAATCTAATTCCGATGCGAAAGGTCTGCAATTTTGAATTTCAAGATGGCTGATATGCCATGTAAAATATGGTCATGTCATACGTCATTAGAAAGGTAATTAACACTGATCACTTTTCTCCATTACACCTACAGTATACCTAAAAATTCATAGTTTCGGAGTTGCATGACCAAAGGTAAAAAATCATCAAATACAGTACGATTTTATTAGGTAGGTCTATCGTTGGAAAGCTCTTCTGGAGCCGAACAGAGTTTTACAATACCAGAATTTGCGCCAGGATTTCCGCGATGCAGCTAAAACTAGGACGGCTGCCACACAATGACTATCAAACTAATCAACGAAAAGAGCTCATTTTAATAGCAGGCGAAATTTTAGAGATTCTGTACACGCAGTGAACATTAAGCAGCCGCCCATTGTTCAAAAACATATTTCTTCATAATTCATAATAGACTATCATTCACTTAATTAATTTTCTAATTGCGACGGCAAGACGTGTATTCTCTAACCATTGTTGATAGACAGTCCAGGGCTACTGTATAATTAGAGCGCGTGATGTGTGCATTCAAGGGACACCATTGAGATACACCTCTCCTAATTTTACTTAATTAACAATAGCTCGGCAACCTAACGCTGCTGTTAATTTATGCAAACTAGAGTGGTGCGAGTTGTGTTGTATAGCAAGTACGGTTAGGTTGGTCACAGGACAGACTCAGACTGTGGCATATGTTAGCCAATGCAGAATGGTACTGATGTTTTGTGGTATGCAACCTGGTAGACAGTAACATTGTTCCTTAGTAGATAGGTGTACTCTTCATCGTGGTTTTACGAGTATGTTAACATGCCGAGGTGTTTATCTGTCACCTACATAATTGTATATATTATTTTGAACCCGTGAGTAGACTTTTTAATTCATGAAATATTGTATTAATTAAATGTGGAGTAGGTTTAAACTGTATGTATTTATTCAGTGTTTGATGTGCAAATAATTAGCATGGAAACTAAAGGAGAGAATGTTATTTTGCTTTATTTTATGACATACCATTTAATAACTTGTGTTACAGTTCTAATGTGATCGCTTAGAGGTCACTGAGTGAGCAAGTTATCGTATCGTAGTCTCGTCCTTAATATTCTCATGGACTTTTGGCACTAGATAACTAATGGATAATGTACCGTGGTTGAGAATAGAAGTCCGTCCAGCGATCATAAAGGCTCAACAGTGAAGTTCAACAATGTATCTTTTCTGGAATAATTATTAATGTATATCCATGTATTGATACTGCCCATGTATGGTAGCATTATTCGAATGCTGAATGGAATGTATATTCAATTGATACTGCTCATGTATGAATGGAATGTATATTCAATTGATACTGCTCATGTATGGTATTATTCAATTGCTAAATGGGATAATTAATATAATTTATGTATTGATAATGATATGCAAATATAATAAATATCGATATAATTCCATTCAAAAATATATTATTAATGTTAAACTACTGTATTTCATTGACTAAATTGATACGGTGTCCAAAATATTCTACTTTGTTTCTATTCTCCTACCAATGAGTGGTGGCACCAGAAATTTGCTGACGAGAGGTCCGACGTCGGGGTCTGAACCAAAGGGCCGACGAATTAAGACTCGGTCGACGACCTGGATTAATTAAAAATTCATTTGATAAGGTTCATGGGGATAGTTTTTATGGCTTAGTATGGTCCAAAATGTGATTTCAGACCACAATATTAGGGATTGGCAATCAAAACATCGTTCAACGTATTATATCTGGATAGGCAAATTATATATTTTTTAATTTTAGATCCACCGACCAAGTCGTTCTTTGGACGACGCAGGGTCCAGGGCCTGGCCGACAGGGTGGCAAATACCCAACCTGCCCACCCCCCTCGGCGCCACTGCTGTTACCAACGTCTACGCCTAGTACTAGTACTAGTAGTAATAGTATGGTATGGCCTAGCCTAGCCTGGCCTGCCGAGGCCAGGCGGTAGGCCTTGGGTGGGCATAATCTTTGTTTGTTAAGTCACCTATAGAAAGCAAGTACTGCCACCACTACGACCAGTCAACCTTTATACCATTGTTGACAATGACCTATACATAATTCTGCCAATTTACTTACCTACGCAAGTTTAGACCGTTTTTTTTTTTGTTTTTTTTCTTTTCTTTTTGTAAGATAGCACTCCCGGTTGTTCGAAACCACCGCCTGCTGATCAGAAAACAACATTGGAACATGCCATCGCCATGTGATACGTGACTGCTGCAGACTCCGTGAAACACCTTGGCCACCGGTACCTCTTTGCTATGCTTGGTACACAAAGATCTTATAAGATCTTTGTTGGTACAGTATTATGATTATGGGGGCGTTAGACATTTGGGGCAGGCGATTTTATTTTTCGTAGGTAAGTTTGGTAAAATAGACCCATATACGCTACTTTCAAAGAATATTGCTACTTTCAAGCCTCTGAGCCCATGGTCAGTATATGGACGTATATTTCCAACTTTCTTCTTGCATTTGTCTATAGCCTAGTCCTACTCATTTTCCGACAATTTGCTCCTTTAACACTCACCTGAGTTTTCAAGAAAACCAGCAATATCTTGCCATGCTGCTAATCTCAATCGGCCAATGGCCAACAAGCTAACCTCACCACTAATTTCATCTGCTATTCTGCTGTTATGTATATTGTACTAACATTCTTGTCATGAATCAAGCCATGCTCTCTGGACGATTATCTTTTCCGCCGCACCACTCTTCGTAACTTGCGGTTTCCTGATGTCCTTATATAATCGCTTTTCATTCAAATGTGCCTCTTGAATTCATAAGAACCCCTCGATGTATAATATACTTTTTATCTTCAAGTGATTTTAATATAGGCCTACAAGTTTTTATTGATTTTGAATTCTCGAAATTTCAATTCTGCCATTTTACAACGCAAGTGTGTCAGAACCCACTTTACCTATTATTATTTCCCTGTATATAGAACAACAACATATACAGTATACAGTTTAAAATAATTTACCATGGCTCTTTGTTTGTAGGCCTATACTGTATTCAGGCGTTTTAAATCATGAAGGGGCAGATCCAGGATTTGAAAGAGGGGGTTCAAAGCATTTCCAAAAATACCCAAAATGAAAGGGGGTGGGGTCCTCCCCATGGAAAATTTCCCCCTTGGATCCGCCATTGTATGACTTAGGTGACCTAGGGTTTTAAAATAACCGTATATACTCGCGTATAATAGGACCTGTCTTAAAATAGCAAATTACGATCGAAAAAAGGGGGTCGTCTTATACGCACGACAATCATATTTTAGATTTTTATAATCACGTTCGTCTTATGTGCGGATCGTCCGTAACACGCGAACTTACTACTGTAGTGAAGCAACTAAATGTGGTATAAATTAAAGCAACTTTAAATACGGGAAAATACGATTTTGATGGGTGAAGATTTAAAAACTCATAAAATGTTATTATTTGGAAGATTACCCTTGCATTTGGCTACATTTATCCAGCTAGATGCAGTATCAGGACCACACAAAATTAGGAATTCCGACCATGAAACAGGGAGTCGTCTTATACGCCAGACATACAAATCAACCAAAAATCTTCTAAAACTCGGGGTTCGTCTTAACGGGTTACCTTATAGGACATACGCGAGTATATACGGTATACTACTTATTACGTAACCCCTGCGGAAGTTCGGGTTCCAGTCACAAAATCAACGGTTGGTTGTAACAATAAACTCGCAAGACTGTGGTTGCCAGGGTTGTTTGGGTAAAGGAGAAATTTTCTCTGTGAAATTGATTCTCAAACGAGATAATGAAAGCTCTCTAATGACTCAAGCTACCTGTATGACCGTTTTTATATTTTTGATAAAACCAATTTCTTCTAATTTTAAATATATTTTCCCCTGAATTTGTGATAATTACAAGTGCTAAATGCGTGACACATTTATGATCTCGATCATGTGCTTCTGCAAAATGTGCGTTTCATCCAAAATCACTTTAAAACGCGGGACTGTCCCGCACGATGCGTGACGGTTGGTAATGGCATAGATAACTGCCGGGCCCTAGGTAAAATTGGTAAAACATGGCCGGCGGAACCGGGCCCCCCACTTTTTTTTTCAAAAAATAATGTCTGGAGATTTTTGTGTGACCGGAAAAAAAAAATTCTAGACCTACCTTTTCAGGACCCGTGAGCTGATTTTTTTTTTTTTTTTACAATCAGAAAATTTTACAATCAGAAAATTAGAATTTTGAAGAACATAAAAGTTATTAAAACACACTTCAAATGTCGGGAAAGCTCATTCCCGCTATCTACGAATTAAAATTTTCCCGGGGGAGAACCCCCGGATCACCCTTTCTTTTTGGGATTTATCGATTCATGGAAAAAAAGAATACGCATGCAACAACTCATTTATTTATGTAGGCCTATGTATACACACATAAAATAAAAAATGAGAAAAATTTACCTGACCATTTTCAAGAGGGGAAAACCTTGAATTTTGAAGAACTTAAAAGACATTTCAGAAGTCAGGGAAGGTCATTTCCCGCATTCTAGAAATCGAAATTTTCCCGGGGGAACCCGGACCCCTTTTTTCTTTGGGGTTCATTGGTTCTATTGAATCATTTTCAAGAGGGGAAAACCCCGATTTTTGAAGAAATTAGGAGTAATTAAAAGACACCTCAGAAGTCGGGAAAGCTCATTTCCCGCTTCTAGGAATCAAAATTTTCCTAGGGGGAGAACCCCGACCCCCTTTCTTTTTGGGATTTTGGGAAAAAATTACCTGACCGTTTTCAAGAGAGGAAACTTTGAATTTTGAAGAACTTAGATTAAAATCGCTATAAGATACTTCAGAAGTCGGGAAAGCTCATTTCCCACCATTTAGAAATTAACATTTTCCCGGGAAAAACCCGAACCTCCCTTTTCTCTTTGGGTTCATTGCTTCATTATAATAATTTTCAAGAGGGGAAAACCTTGAATATTGTAGAACTTAAAAGTAGTTAAAAGACACATCAGAAGTCGGGAAAGTTCATTTCCCGCCTTCTAGGAATCAAAATTTTCCCTGTGGAGAACCCTGGACCCCCTTTTTTTTTTGTATTTATGGGTTCATGAAAAAAAACTCGTATGCAAATACTTAATTTTTTTAATGTATACACACATAAGGCCTGTCTACTGTAAGGACTTAAAAGCAATTAAAAGACACCTCAGAAGTCGGGAAAACTCATTTCCCGCCTTCTAAGAACCAAAATTTTCCCGGGGGAGAACCCCCCACCCACCTTTCTTTTTTGGATTTGTGGATTCATGGAAAAAAATCGTATGCAACTACTAAATTTTGTTTTATGTAGGCCTATGTATACACACATAAGGCCTATCTAATATAATAACAATACGATAAATTTACCTGACCATTTTCAAGAGGGGAAAACCTTGAATTCTAAAGAACTTAAAAGTAATTAAAAGACACCTCAGAAGTCGGGAAAACTCATTTCCCGCCTTCTAAGAATCAAAATTTTCCTGGGGGAGAACCCCAGGACCCACCTTTCTTTTTGGGATTTATGGATTCATGGAAAAAAAATCGTACGCAACTACTCATTTTTTTGTATGTATATGTATACACACATAAGGCCTATCTACTGTAATAACAATGGAATAAATTTACCTGACCGTTTGCAAGAGGGGAAAACCTTGAATTTTAAAGAACTTAAAAGTAATTAAAAGACACCTCAGAAGTCGGGAAAACTCATTTCCCGCCTTCTAAGAATCAAAATTTTCCTGGGGGAGAACCCCCGGACCCCCCTTTCTTTCTGAGATTTATGGATTCATGGAAAAAACCGTATGTAACTACTCATTTTTTTGTATGTGTGTATACACACATAAGGCCTATCTACTGTAATAACAATGCATGCGATAAATTTACCTGACTGTTTTCAAAAGGAGAAAACCTTGAATTTTAAAGAACTTAAAAGTAATTAAAAGACACCTCAGAAGTCGGGAAAACTAATTTCCCGCCTTCTAGGAATCAAAATATTCAGGGGAGAGAACCCCCGGACCCCCCTTTCTTTTTGGGATTTATGGATTAATAGGAAAAAAATCGTATGCAACTACTCAATTTTTTTAAATGTATGTATCACATAAGGCGTATCTACTGTAATAACAGGGATAAATTTACCTGACTGTTTTCAAGAGGGGAAAACCTTGAATTTTGAAGAAATTAAAAGTAACTAAAAGACACCTCAGAAGTCGAGAAAGCTCATTTCCCGCCATCTAGGATTCAAAATTTCCCGCCATCTAGGATTCAAAATTTTTCCGGGGGTGAACCCCGGACCCCGCTCCATATGGGAACGTTTTTGCCACTTTTTATCATTTGCTAGTTCAGCTATCATGAAAGCAGCGAACTGAGGTCAAATCAACCCTGCTGTAGAAGCAGTTTGGATTCATTTTCATTATGGGGTTAAATACCAACAAAACTCAATCTGCACAGTCAATATTCTTTAGTTAAAACTTGTATTTGAACACATATTTAACAGTACACATAGTACAATGTAAAGTGAACAAATCCTGAGATCTTTCTTCCCCTAGTCCACACTTTCGTGTTGGCGGGATTGGCTTAGCACTACGGTACACCCCTACGGAAATCTTCAAACGGTCCAGACTATAAATTTCATTTTTTGCAGAAATATAGCTTAATTGCTGCAAGTATCTTGTCTTGGGACATTTGTTTTTAATAAAGGTAATAAAAGCACACAAAAAATCCAACTGATAACTAAATTAGGCCAAGATACACGAAGAAAGAAGTCAAACACTGCGAACACAAGTCAAGCAAACAGAAGTATGACGTCATACCAGTGATTTGGACTATCACGCTTGACAGATTTTTTGACTCATGAGAGGCAATCGTGGATTGGATGGATTTTATATTTTCTTATTTTCTGATAAAACTACCCAACCAATCATACTAAGTTTTATATCAGCTTCAAGCTTATTATATTCTCTCCACGAATCCACTTGGGCCAATTCGAACAAACAAATAGTCTGTGAGTGAAGGAGTAAGAAACGACAAAACTGTAGGGATTTTTTTTCATTTTTTCTTCACGAATTGGTAGATTAATATTTTTTACAACACAATCTGCTTGGTCCATTACAAGAAAATCCTAGATTTTGTACCAAAAACGTACTTTTGTGAAAAAAATCCAGTTTTCTCCAATGGTTAAGGCGACCTTGGAGAGCAAATGATACAACGTTTCCATATGCTTTTCTTTGGAGCTTATCGATTCATTGAAAAAAGAATACGTATGCAACAACTAATTTTTTTTATGTATGTA